TTCAAACGAGAACCCCTGTGATTTACGAGAATGCGAGAACAACACAATAACCACATATTGTGATAAAAAAATAAAATTAAAAGATTTTTAAAACTAAAATTGAAATTTAAAAAGATTCAGAAAATATTATAATTAAAATCGTAATAATGAAAAAGATACTATAAAATCTTTTAATATGATTACTCGATCATGATTATCATTATCTAATAAACGGTTAATCATGTGATATGGGTGTGATTATCACACAATTATCACATTATCGCTTATATTAACACGATTTGATGTGATTTGGGTGTGATAATCATGTGATTATCACAAAATTATCACATTATCGCTTATATCAACACGATTTAGTGTGGTATGTGTGTGATAATCATGTGATTATCACACAATTATCACAAGGATTCCGCTCGGCTAGGGTTAACTTAGAAAATCGACTACCGATTTGGTGTGATATGGGTGTGATAATCATGTGATATCACYATCATAACAGCGCACTCGATTTGATCATGGTTTCGATCGGTTAGGATTAGACGATCACACATTTATCACAACGATTACAGGCGAAATCCATTAAACAATTTGGTGTGATAATCATGTGATATCACTATTATAACATCACTTGCGCACTCAATTTAATCATAGTTTTGATCGGTTAGGGTTAGACAATCACACATTTATCACAACGATTACTCACGGTTTCGATAGGTTATGGTTATACTTCATTGATCATGGTTTCGATATGTTATGATTACACAATCACACAATTATCACAAAGGGAGAAGAGAGAGTGGAAAAGAACGTGCACGAAAAAAAAGGATAATTATGACTAATTAAAATAAAATAAAAATTATAAAATTAATTAATTACATTACTTATTTAATATAAGTTAATTTATTAATTAAAAAAGTTTGAGGTTATTAGATTGTTCTCGCATTCTCGTAAATCACAAAGGTTCTCGTTTGAACCTCCACCTATATATATAGGGTTAGGTTCACGTGAGACCAAGGGTTTTTCGTGAGACCCGTAAGACCAATTTATGTTCATTGATCAACTTTATAAGCTAATGATCTAATGGTCTAAAGTTGCACGGTGACAATTTTGTAATTATTGAGAAGTCTCGTGGCGTTTATGAATGTTCAGATCTGATGATTGTAGATCTAATCCAATGATTGAGAATTAGTCTTACGGGTCTCACAAAAAACCATTGGTCTCACATGATCCCAAATATATATATATATATATATATATATATATATATATATATGGTAATCATTTTCAATTTTAATGCAAACACTTTATGGTATTTTACACGTTGGCAACGCTCACAGAGGAAGTAAAGGCATCACCGACACAGTAACGCGCCTCCAATTGGGCCCCACTCCTCTTCTCTCATTTTCCTTTAATATTTTAACCTTTTCTTTGGAACGTTTCTGCATGTGACCTTCCCACTCCCACATTAAAATTCCTTATCGTTATTTGTCATATAAATTAATATTTTAGATTCTAAACCATTTTAATTATTAATTCATATAACTATTTCTCCTCTTTTAACAAAAAAAAAAAAAATACTAATTAATATTCAATCACAAAAACTTAGAGCTTCTTTTTTTTTTCTTTCTAAAACTATCACTTTATTCATTGAAAACAAGATTGAGATGACATTTGTTTTTTAAAAGCTGTTGAAGTCTGAAATTTTATTTCATTTCTGATTAATAAGAGATGGTGTTGAAATCTGAATTCTGTTTTTGTAAAATCAGTTGCAAATATTTTGCAAAATTCTCTTGATTTTCATAAAATTTTCATTGTTGAAATTCATCACAACAATTATTTAACAGATGGAACACAGTAAAAATCTTTTGGATACCTTTCAGACTTTCGATGCTGTCGGGAATGCCGTCGATGAATTTGTTTGTGGAAAGATCGATATTTTGATAGAGGATATAGATCGTCGATAGAAGTTTTTGTTACACATAATCTTTTAAGCTAACCTACAGGTACAAAAATTATATATATATATATATATATAGAGAGAGAGAGAGAGAGAGAGAGAGAGAGAAGGTAGGGCATGCATTTCACGATGAAAGGATAGTGGCGTCTCTGGTGGAGAAATAAACAATAATAAAAAAGAATCAAACAAAAGGGGAAATAAGATGAATTAAGGTATTTGTTTACCTTTTATTTATATTCAGACCTTATTAAGTGATAAGAGAATCTGAGAATAATAAAAAAACAAACAGAAAAAATATCTGAACGAATCAGACATAAGTAGTAGTTAAGAGCTAAAAAAAAGATAAGCTTAAATATATTTCATTTTTCTTAAAATATATTATGATATCATAATTTAATATTCTGATCTAAAATAAAACAATCAATAATATTTGGTATCATTGATTTTAAAATTATATAGGAAATATAAGTAGTTTGTATATTTTAATGTATGCAACAATTTACTCGGTAAGTATTAACCATGGTAAGAATCGCCGTCATCACTTACCAGTTAAGACTCTAGGTCATTGTTGTATTCATCAGTAAGGTAATATTGATAAATACTTACCGGTTAAGTGTTTGATATACAGTCCTTAAGTTTTATTATATAATTTTAAATGAAAAATAATTTAAAACAAAATTCTAAGAATTTACGATTACATATATATATTAAGAAAACACTGTACAATGTTGTATTGAAGAGGTAAGCCGAAGGTGGTTTCTTGTGTCGGTAGATATATCATAAATACTATTTTATTAATCTTCTTTTTATACCATACATATTTTTACCATATATATAATTTTTGTTTGATTCTAACAATAAAAGTCGAGTTAATAGCAATATATATCGAGGTTCAAACGAAAACATCTTCATTTAATGAAAATGGGAAAACATTCTTATCACATGTATAATATACATGAGGACACCTGGTGGTGTGCAGATGACGTGTCATGCGACTTAGGTCACACTAAAGGTTGTATGTCTCTGATTTAATATCACGTCAAGAACACATTTATCGCATATGTGATAATACACATGAGGGGACTAGCAGCATGAGTGAGACTTGACCCGCAACCTAGGTCGTGCAAAAGTTGTATGCATCTCTGATTTAATATCATATGTGATGAAATATAGTATCACATTTAATTGATTATATTAAAAGAGTATTATCATGTTCTCTTAAAATGAAAGTGTTCTCATTTGAACTATTCCCTGTATATATTACAAATCATTTGGAAACATTCTACTACTGATATAAATTGTACAAAACCAATCTAGGATAATAAATATATAGTTCCATAAATATCTCAATTGTTTCCTATTTTAAAACGTTGATCGTAATTAATGAACCATGATCATTTTTCATAAACATTTCGATCATAATAAATAAACTCTTATCATTTTTCATAAATATCTCAATTGTTTGGTTTGTAACGTTTTAGAAGGTTTGCAAATGATTTGAACTATATTATAATTTTCACTTGGATCTCAACAAGATACAAGAATCAGTCGATCTCGCATATGACATGGCTTGATTTGTATGCGGTCTTGTAAGTCTTTACTGGCTTTGTCTCTTGTTTTAGTGTTGTTTTCGTTTTTAACGGTGTTGTAAATTTTGATAAATAAATGAAAACCATAAAAAATGTTACAAACTAATAAAAATTGATATAAAAATATTTCATTACATATTTTTATTTATCAAAAAACTATGATTTAATGTATTGTTTCACATATGCTTGTGTTTATCTGGTAAAAGAATTAGTTCACTTAGTGAAATGAAAAAATACATATAAAAAGGTTTCACATGATTAAACAAATACATGCAAAACTATCATATTATGAAACAAATATATGTGAAATAATGTCTTAAATCATAGCATTTGCTGAAAAAAATCAATGAAACAAACATACAAGAAAATTCAGTTGTAAATTCGAAATATGTTGTGAGTCGGGGATAAACGAGAGTGTGACATATGTCCTTATTTGTTATCATTCTTTGTGCATAATGAACGTCAACATTTATATCCGTAAATGTTGTTCTTGCTTGTCCCTCGATTCACAAGGTAAGTAAAGGTGCGTTTGGTATCCAGACATGATATGACAAAACTAGACATGATATGACAGTTGTTTAGTGTTTGGCAAGTAGAACTGGTCATGACATAACAAATAAAATGACCAATATATGTGAGACAAGATTGTTTTTGTTAGACATAGTTTTTACATTTGAAACTTTCCTGCAAAACACTGTGAAGATAACCTTTACAGTATTTTTGTTGTGAATGTTCGACCTTTTTTTAACTTCACAACATTTTTGCTATGAAATTTTATGTGTAAAATTGTTATCTCGTATGTTTCACGAAAATAGTCAGTTCCCACTTGAACCAAAAATCTATGTTTTGATGCAAGTTGATAAAAAGACGAGAAGAAAACAGTGAAACGAGTGAAAAAGGGTTTTATAGATTCTATGCTTTTGAGATCAAGTACCATTTTTCAGAAACTTCAAAAGTTTTGTATTTTACCTTGATCAAAATTTGATATTTTTTAGGGTTTATGAGAGGTGGTGGAGCCTTATTCCCTTCATAATTCCATGCCGGTGTAAAGTGTGAAATTGAATACAGCCTTCTCTCTCTACATATAAATGTATATATTGACCAGCAATTCCGGCGGCAGATCTACACAGTGACGGTGGTGGTGGTTGTTCGAGGTAACAAATCGTTTTCTACATTTAATAAAGCCAGCTGATCCCAAGTCATCGCATCCCTCTGTTAATTCAATATTTTATACAATTATACTATCTGTGTGTGAAATTGTGTTTTATGAAAGTCGTCGTCTATGGATTCCATCTCTGTAACACAGTAAATGATGCTAGCTTAAAGAATTGATTAAAAATTAGTTAATTTGAGGTGAGTCTCATTGATTGACCTTGTGTTCCTAATTAATTAGGGACCTCTAATTAGGGTGTGTGAGCAGTATTAGCGCGTTTAAGTTGACATTGATCCATCACGCATCTAGTCTACTTTCTTCACTACTCTATGTCTTAATGTGTGTATAAAATATACTTGTATTTCTTCTCTCTCTCTTCGTCTCCATCTGTCATCTTATTATAGAGAGTCCAAGTGACTAATATTGACGAGGGAGCTTTATGTGATTGGATCCATTCGCAATATCAAATCGTACCCCTCTGTTTGGTCTTTTCAGTTGTACCAAAAAACCCTCACAAACACCCTTTGCTCCACCTCCTATTTGTTAATAGCCAGGTGTGCTTCTGTGTTCTTGAGAAAGAGAAGAATTTAGAAGAAAGGTTAGTGGGGAATTGAGAGAAGACATAATAATTGAGAGATGGTGTGTGAAATGATGGGGTGGAATTGCCGAATTGTTGGCTGAATTTCTGGAATTTGGTTGACTACCCTGTATCTAATTAAGGTAAAAAGATTGTTCTTTTCCATTCACCCAAGTTTTGTGTTCTTTTCTCTACGTGCAAATTTTGATACATTTGTTGCTTTTTTGTGAATTAAGGTTTCTTGGATCACCTGACTTTATCTATATGGGTTTCTGTTTTATTGTGAATTTTATCAAAGTATAATTCACTAAAGTGAAATACTTCTGCTTGGAGTTTAAGGATCTTGGTAACCTGTTTGAAAAAGTTTATGCAATTGCTTTGGGTTTATTGGATCTAGTAGAGTAATTATATGAACAGATCTTGTACCAAGCATTTCTAGCTTGTTTGCAATGATTATGTTATTTCTGTTATGTTTCTTTTGATATTTAAGCTCTTTTTGGTGCCTTTACTATATGTTTGTGTCTATTTCAATGTAGGAGCATGTCCAGGCCACTTCATCGAGGTGTTTTGGGCGGCGGAAGACTTCCAGGAAACATTCAAGATTATATCGAAGACTCTCAGATGAAGGTTAAAATAGATAAGGAAGATTTTGATAGGAGTCGGACATCCTCTGATCATGTATCCTTATCATTAAGGAATCCATTCCAATTCCTTTTTTCAGAAAACTCGTCATCTAAACAAGATTCCACTGAGAATGGATTTGTGGTCTCTGATCCATTTACCCCAACAACTTTAAGGAATCGCCATATGCTGACGTTACTTTTTCTTAAATTCAGTTTAGTTTTGATAGTGATTCTTGGTATTTCTGTGTCATTTCTGTGGACAATCTCGCTCATGACAGCTTCTAAAGGTCATATGCTTCATGGGTATAGACGGCTGCAAGAACAGCTTGTGTCCGACTTGTGGGACATTGGGGAGCTCTCACTTGGTTCCACTAGGTTCAAAGAGTCTGAGTTCTGTTCTCTAGAATCCGAAAACTATGTACCCTGTTTCAATATTACTGAAAATCTTGAGTTGGGTTTTACTGAAGGGAAAGAGTTTGACCGTCATTGTGGGCCTATGTCAAAGCAGAATTGTTTAATTCTTGCTCCGCCCAAATACAAAATTCCTCATAGGTGGCCCACTGGAAGAGATGTAATCTGGATTGACAATGTTAAAATTACTGCACAGGAGGTACTTTCATCTGGAAGTTTGACGAAAAGGTTGGTAAAACTTCTACGTCAATTAAAGATAAGATATGAGTTGGTTATTTGGTTAAACATGTCCATTGCTGTCACTTTCTTATTATTAAATTCTTTGTGGCTGATGTTAATTAATGTGGTTGCAGGATGATGATGTTAGATGAAGACCAAATCTCATTTAGTTTTGCATCTTCTATGGTAGATGATAATATCGAAGACTACTCTCATCAGATTGCAGAAATGATTGGTTTAAGAAATGAATCTTATCTTGTACAAGCTGGAGTAAGTAAAAGTTACTTTCGTGCATAATATTGCTTTTACTGCTAATATTGTTCGTTTTGATGCCCCTAATGAGTTTTCTTTATGAATTATATGGAAGTGACCATCTTTTATCTTCTGCATGTGCATTGTAACTTTGGGATTTACATTGCACTAAGCCGATCATGAAAATTCCAATCTTTGACTTGATGCATAGTTTAAAGAAATGTTTGACTATTTGTCAAATACTAATAATACCCTTCAAGAAAGACTAATAAAGGAAAGTTGTAGATTTCAATGAATACTAGAATTTTTTCTGCAATGATGATAATGGGCAAATAGGTCATTTGGAACCTTTCTAGAAATGGCTGTGGCAATATTCATGGGACATCTGTTGCAATTTTCATTGGCCGAAGGAAGTATTAGTTTGGTAAACTAACAAGTATTTTTCTTTTATGTTATAGAATTGGATTTGAACTTCACAGAAACAGCCGCTCTACTCTTGGTGGTAGAGGCCAGGTCTACTTTAGTCTTACCCTCCCTAGACCCCACCTCCGAGTGGAATATACTGGGTTTGTTTGCTTTATATTGGTTCGGTTTATAGAATTGGATCTGAAATAGCAATTGCAAATGCCATTTTGACCAACCACATTGGCTTAGTTATAGACGCATTTACCATTCCATTATGCATGTCATTATGGTGAAAATGCATAGTTTTCTAACGGTTTTTATCCATCCTTTTTTCAGGTGAGAACCATGTTAGATATAGGTTGTGGTTATGGTAGCTTAGGAGCACATCTATTCCCGAAACAACTTTTAACAATGTGTATTGCAAACTATGAGGCTTCAGGCAGTCAAGTTGAAATAGCTCTTGAACGAGGTCTCCCTGCGATGGTTGGTTCTTTTGCTTCAAAACAGTTGCCGTTCCCATCACTTTCCTTCGACATGATACACAGTGCATGGGATGGTGTTGAATGGGATAAGAAAGGTATCATTTTGTAAGCTAAACTTCATGGTTATGTTACATTAGCTAATATTTATGCGCACATTTCCTGGTCTCCAGAAGATCGAGCTGAATTTAAGCTACCTTTTTGCCTTTTGGGTTTTGTCACAGATGGTATACATTTGATAGAAGTCGATCGAGTTTTGAGACCTGGAGGATATTTTGTTTGGACCTCGCCATTTGCCAACACGCCAGCTTCTGTTCGTGATAAAGAAAGTTTGAAAAGATGGGATTTTGTGCGTAATTTTGCTAAAGATCTCTGTTGGGATTTGTTATCACAGCAGGATAAAACCGTCGTGTGGAAAAAACCTAGCAAGAAAAATTGTTATGCTTCTAGGTATATCTACCTCTATGCGAACACCATTACACATTTACAATGTTTTTTCTTGTGAAATCCTTTTTGCTTTCGAACGTTAAAGGTATTATGTAGACATTGTATGCAAAACTGGTCTTCTAATTATAAAAGTTGTAACTTGTGAGTGATCTTAATCTTGTCTCTGAACCACTGTGATTGATAGAAAACATGGTCCTGGTCCTTTGATCTGCAAAGAGGGTCGTGATGTTGAATCTCCATATTACCATCCACTTGAGGCATGCATAGGAGGAACTCGTAGCCGGCGATGGATTCCTATTCAGGAAAGGGCAACCTGGCCTTCTAGAGCTATGTTGAGCCCCAAGGAACTTGCGGTGCATGGTAAGCTTTTGTCGTTATTTTTTTTTGAGCTTATTGAAAGAATCCCTTTGGTTAGCCATAAGCGAGCTTATCAAAACAGGCTACTTCAAGTAGTTTTTCAATAAGCTAGCTTATCAGAACACGCTACTTAAAGTAGTGTTTCAAAAAGCTTCAGGGGAGTTGTTTTCACTTCTTTCCAATTATACCCCTTATATATTTCCAATGAATTTGTTAACATGTCTTTTTAGGTCATTTTACATTGTCATCTAGCCTATGAGCTAGTTTTTACCAATCATGACTAGTCATGCAAGTTGTACTCCCCAACTCTTATCTGATTATGGATTAGGCCTAATGTACTCTCTCCGTCAAGTAGTTTTTCAATAAGCTAGCTTATCAGAACACGCTACTTAAAGTAGTGTTTCAATAAGCTTCAGGGGAGTTGTTTCCACTTCTTTCCAATTATACCCCTTATATATTTCCAATGAATTTGTTAACATGTCTTTTTAAGTCATTTTACATTGTCATCTAGCCTATGAGCTAGTTTTTACCAATCATGACTAGTCATGCAAGTTGTACTCCCCAACTCTTATCTGATTATGGATTAGGCCTAATGTACTCTCTCCGTCCCGGAATAAGTATCTACATTTATATATTAGTTTGTCCCAAAATACGTGTCCACTTTCAAAAGTAAGTACTCACTTTCCATTTCTACCCTTATTATCAGATGGAGAAATTCATTACCTCTTATGGCATTAAGGGTAAAATAGTCATTTAGTTAGTTAAAAGGTGTAATAATAACACATTTCTAAAACTGTGTGCCTTTTTCATCGTGGGCATTTATTTGTCTGACGGATGTAATATGTATGCATCATAAAAGTTGTACTAATTTGTATCCACACATCTTAAGACTAGTACTAAAGAATGTTTTGACATATTTTTCTCTGGTTTATTAGGTGTACTTCCAGACGACTTTACGGAAGATAACATTAACTGGAAGTCAGCAGTTCGAGATTACTGGTCTCTACTCTCCCCACTGATATTTTCAGATCATCCAAAGAGACCTGGTGAAGAGGATCCTATTCCGCCTTATAACATGGTCAGAAATGTCTTGGACATGAATGCCCATTTTGGCAGTTTTAATTCCGCCTTATTGGATGGCCGAAAATCCGTATGGGTGATGAATGTGGTTCCCACCATTGGGGTCAACCACCTCCCCCTTATCCTAGACAGAGGGTTTGTTGGCGTGTTGCATGACTGGTATGTTCTTTGTTGTCTTACTCGAAATTATTTGCACAAAAATTCTAATCTTCACGATGCTTACTTATTTTAATGGGCTTGGAACTCGGCTTTAGGTGTGAGGCATTTCCATCCTACCCTAGATCTTATGATATGGTGCATGCCGATGGACTTTTATCTCTTCAAACCGTAAAGCAGTCTCATTGCAGCATGGTGGATCTTTTCTTTGAGATTGATCGATTACTCCGTCCAGAGGTATCTTGATTGATTGTTTTTATTTCAAATGCATTCAAATTTTTAGAGGTTACAGTAGACCAAATAGCTTGATGCAAAGGGTATGGGTGCATGGATATAGGATTTTTTCGATTCTAAAAAACCAAGGACATGTTATGTTAGGGTCCCATATCGGTTACAGTTTCTCCTTAATATATGTCGGATCCTCTTTAGGTTAGGGTTCTTTTGGACAGTAATCTAATGGGTTCCATGTATTCTTACATGGTATCAGAGATAAGGTCTATCACTCTATAGACTTGACACTCGGGGACAATAGGTACTCGTCTAGCCCCTCTTCACACCCTCGGACAATCTGTACCCCTTTAGCCGCAGTTTCTTTTTCGGGCTGCCCGGGGGGGGGGGGGGGTTAGAGTCCCAAATTGGCTGGTTGGACATGGACCATTTCCCATCAATTTACTCCTTAAAGGCTCTTTTAGAGAGTAATCCAATGGGGTTCCACATATCCTCACACGGTATCAGAGCCAAAATCTACCACTCTACGGACTCGACACTTTGGGGCAATATGTACTTTTCTATCCCCCTCTCGACACTCTTAAGACAATTTGTTCCCGTTTAGCCTCCATTTGAAGAGTAGGGGGGGTGTTGGTTTCTAGAGTCCGTCATCGGCTAAAATTTGGACATTTCCCCTCGGTATATGTTGAAGCCTAGTTTTAGTTTTCATGTTAGCTAATAGTTACGAAAATGAAATGCAGGGTTGGGTGATACTACGTGACGCCGCCTCTCTGATTGAATCAGCGAGAGCCATCACAGCTAGATTAAAATGGGAAGCACGAGTTGTGGAAATCGAGAGCAACAATGACGAAAAACTCCTTGTTTGCCAGAAACCTTTCGTAAGGAGCAGTTCAAACTCGTTATGATGACATTCAACATTCATTTTCTTCAAAATTTTCAGCATTTTTATTGTCGCCAAACTGAGGAACGTTTGGGCAGAAAAAGAAAGCCAAAAGGAACTAAAGTTATTGGTGATACTCGAGAGTCAAAAGAAGGTCCTGTGCCGCCATAAGGTGGACGTAGGGCGGGTGTAATTACACAAAAGTATAGGTGCGGAATTTTTTATACTTGAAGCTTATCGTCTTTCGTCTCGTATGGATACCGACTATATGAATTTGATGGTTATAAGAATAAGTAGAATGGTATATATACGAGACTTTGATGAAACCAAATATTGTTGTTTCTTGACAATATTCTTCCCATTCATAATATATTTGAATTCTATTCTTTGATACTTGATTATCGGAATTCACTCTGGTCTTGTGTTTGTATTTTGATGCTTCATCAGAATTCACTGTTTACCGACACAAATTGGGTAAACGTTAACCGGGTAAAAGGATGTTTGGTTGGTTTTTCATTAAGTGTAATGTAAATAAAGTTGTCTATGCGGATTAATTTGTCTGAATAGATTGAGAAGGTTTTTGTTTGAGAGAGTTTTTTCATAGATGGAAATAATGTTTTTTAACTGCGAATGGCAGGTTTGGAGATCTTGGTTTTCTACAGAAAGCTCCCCCTTAAAGGCTTATTGAATAAGCCACTTTTTATATGATTGACCCACTATCGAGTCTCATTAACTCATGAAACTGCGAACAAACATGTCGTATGAGTCTCTTGCTTAACTTACTAGGTCAGCATCGTGGACAGGTAAGAAGGGTTTGGTAGATAGCAGTATCTCTGACGAGGTAAATACATACGGAGATGGAGTCAAACAATGGTCCGTCATTGTAGCCATTGCTTTGTTTTGAATGTTGTGGCTTTGTGGTTTGCGTTTCACAATGGTATTCAATGTGGTTTAGTGGCCCGTAAGTCGATGAATACACAATGTGGTTCAAAATTCACATGTGAATAGTGGAATAAAATCTTCCTATTCATTGAAACATGTTAAAATAAACAAAAAACTATAATTTTTTTAATTGATAATAAGGTTTGTACAACCAATTATTATAGCCACATAAAATTAAAATCTTTAAAAAATATTACATTCAATTCTTACAGATTTTTTATCTTAAACATTTCATTATTAATTATATTATTAAAAATCTTATAATTTTATAATCACAATATATTTTTAATAAATAATTTCTTATATAGAATAAAAATAATTTAATTTCATTGATGCAATGAAATAAAAAAATCAAGTATCAAATATGCAAGATAAAATTAAATAAGTGTACTTAAATACAAATACACGTATAGTTTATGTTGATCTTGTAATGTAATGACTTATATATGATGTGTTTGTAGAAAATGATTGAATACAAACATAACAAATTTTCAATTTTAATTATATATTTTGTATTAAAACAAAAAATTATAGATTTGTTGGAAAAACTAGGAAGGTAAGACCTGATTCTAAACAATCTGACTGGTGATAAATTTGCTAACAACTGAAAGAGTGAGAGAAGAAAATATTCTTTTAGATCTGAAGTACTTAGTTTTTTTTTTTTTGATAGTGACGCCGATTTTGCCTAAGAAACTATTAATCAGAAGTTCTTTCAAAACGGACAAGTTGTAAACATATGACAAATGGGATCTTTTATAGCCACCGTTACATTAAAAGTTGCTTGCCAACTTAAACACGTATTTTATTTGATTTATTGATGCATGCATGCTTGTACTATTTATTTTTGTCTTTGAAGTTGATATAGACACTTGTTAACCCAATTCATCTTTTTATATACAAAGAGAACAATAAAAAACTATGATACTACTAAAAGTAGTAAGTTATAACTTACTTTGGCTGTTGACATGCTTAACATGTTCTCATACTATGATAAATATTGCTAGAGTTGGTGAGTCAAACTTACTGGATAAGTGTGCACACTAAAATCTGGCTTGCCAGTAGTAGTATTTGTCAGACTATTATTTAATTTTATCTTGTATTGATATTATTACGGTTAAATGACAAACCAATCCACTTTGATAACGATTTTGACCTCACTTTAACTAACCTTCAATTTTGTTGAAAACCTTTTGTTTTTGGATCAATACAAATAATTATAAGACTTTTATACAATAAAATCCTATTTTTATCTATTTCAAAAATATAAACTATAAATCATATTCCATCTTTATCTATACTATCTTATTAAGCAAATTTAGTAAAAGTTCTAAAGTCTTAAAATTCTAAATGACCAAAATACCCTTTATACTTACTTTTTCACTTTTTCACCCCATCATTTTCTCACATACACTCACCCCCTCACATACACTCACCCTCTCACAACCGATTTTTTTTAAAATTGTAATTTTAAATTTATACTTTATACCCCTATAATTAATTAATTAATTTACTTTAYGTCATTTACTTTTAAATGTTTCATTTTAAACCTTTATCAAATTAACATACATAATCGTATATCAATTAAAACATGTTTAAAAAATACATTTTTATTTCAACAAGTTACATCATTATAATCGTCTCGTCAATACCTTTGAAATGAGTCCAATATTGAATAGTTTTTGACTTAATTATATTATTATATATTATGTATACTGTGAAAAAATATTTTTAATATTTACGATTTATACTTTTATAGTTATTTATTTATATATATACTATATATTTTGGGGTTAGACTGTCCAAATTGCACTGTATAATATGTTTTTAATTAATATGTTCTTTGTTTTTTTTTTGAAATATATATATATATATATATATATATATACATGTATTAATTCAACCTTAATACGAGTTTCTGGACAAGAAAGAGGGTAAACAGTTGAAATTTCATTCTAAAACCCATCTTTTTTTGTCTTTTCATGACTTATGATCTGTTAAATTTGTAGTTTTCTTTATTAGTTTTGAGTGTTTATCTTAAAACTCAAGTTTCTTGGTTCTTTGCTCTTGGTGTAAATCGAATAAATTTGTGGAGTCGTTTAAATATGTTGGATTTTAAATTGTCATACAATTTTTTTCATCGATAGTCTGTAATTAGAACCATAGCTCTTATTTATTCAAATTGTATTAATATGTAAAGACCAACTGTAACCTATATCATCATTAAATCTTATCTTATAAAACCAGTAGAACTTCAAAATCGTTAAAATTTATGGCTCCCGCCGCATTACGCGGGTATTATGCGGGTACACAACTAGTAAATAAACATTTATAAAACACAATAAAATGCTACAATTTAACACCAATCAAATCTACTCTCTTTGGAGTTAAAATCCGTGCCCTTTTTATCTGAGACAAGGAAGCCCGTAAGGTTCCGAATTATGGCCACCACCACCACCACCACCACCGTCGATCCCGACCGCCCTCCTCCTCTCCGGCTTGACTCTATCCCCACCGTCGACCTTCGTCTCCTCTCACAATCAGAACTCTACTCCCTCTCCAAGTGCTCCAATTCCTCATTCGATCTCAACCGCTGTGATGACGTTGTAATCCCCAAAATCGACCGCTCCGTTTTCAATGAATCCGCCGGTAGCCGTAAACAAACTTACTCACGCCTTCGGCTTGCACCCGCCGAGTCCTCCACGTCCGCCAAAACCACCATGCACCGCCGGACGTCTCACATCCGTTCGCCACATGCACCCACTTCCAACAATATTAATGACCCCGAACAAGCCGAAAACACTCAGATCGTTCGTATGTTGAAAGAGCTCTTTAATTCAGATCCTAATTTTGAGGATTTAGTTCCTATTGAGGTCCAAAACGATACCAATGTCGTAGTGCCTGAATTGTTGAAACCTGAGATGAAGCGAAAGCGAGGGAGACCACGAAAGCATGAGAATGCGGCTTTCATCCATCCCCCGGCTGCCAAGAGAATGCGTGATATTATGGTCAAGAAAGTAGTTGTCTTTGATAATGATAGGGATAGAGAAATTGTGAATAGTAGAGGCGTGAAAGTAAACATAGCGAATCTGGGCAGGTTGGAGGATCCCTACGGACCTGAAATTAGGAGGAGGACCGAGGGAATGTTGACTGAAGGTGAGTTGTTAGGGTTTTTGGGAGGTCTGGATGGCCAGTGGGGGACTAGTAGAAAGAAGAAGAGGATTGTGGATGCAAGTGATTTTGGAGATGCTTTACCTAAAGGCTGGAGGCTGAGCCTCTCTATCAAGAAGAAAGCAGGTCGTGTTTGGTTATTCTGTCGTCGTTACATAAGGTTTGTTTTGCTTTCTTGCTTTCATGGTATCAGTTGTTATTCTTTTTGCGCAGTTAGTTTATCATGTGGTATAGTATTGGGTTTTGTCTTAACTTTACTGGCATTCTATTGTGTGTGCACAAAGAACACGATTGAAGAGTATTGCCCTTGTGCATAGTGGAATTCAATCACTTATGTGTTCTTTTTTTTATCCATATGTACGACTTGTTTCTAAATATCAATGGTTTAATATAATATCTAATGTTTGAGGTAGGGTGTGGGCAATTGTGATGCGAAATTGAAACTTGAAAGAACAATTGAACACAGAAGATAAGGAAGAAAGGTATGATTTGAATTGAAAACTTGGAATGAACACAATTACAATCAAAAGTCCAGGGCTGATCCCTCTCTCACAACCATAAGGTTGGAGCCTCAAACAATATGAATGAAAAATAACCGAATGAATGATTACGGGATCTTTCTTCCCTTTTATTCTTCTCTCTCTTCTAACTGACCTCAGCCACTTGCTTCATTCCTTTTGTTGTCATTTCCCCTTTTTTCCCTTCTAGAATACACCTTTAATATCCTAGATTGGTTTGCATTGGAACTAATTAATTCTCCATCCGTATCATTACTCCCCCCTTCCAACAAAGTCTTGTCCTCAAGACTTGTATCCAGAAACTGACTTTGGATTGATAGGGCATCTTCCCACGTTGCCTCGTCTACCGTGATATCCCTCCATTGAATCAACCATTGTACCACATCTTCATTATGAACTTTGATCGTACGAGATGCTAACACAGCAGTAGGAATGATCAGATCAGCGATATTTAAATCCAATTCAGGTGGTAAAATACCTTAATGCCTGTGATTCTGGCAATTTGGGAACCAAAGATAGCAGATACTCGAATTCATCGATGTAATCGTAAATGGAAGAGGCTTGTTTAATGGTGGCTAGGTGTTCATATGGGTTCTGGATCTCTAACCCACTGAATCGCTGTAGTAATTCAACCTGAAATTGTTCCCATGTGATAGAATCATGGACCTGCTTTACAATCGTGAACCAATGCTGTGCTACTCCAGTCATGCTTAATTGAGCCAAATGGATATGGAGATGGACAGGGGTACCATGAATTTCAAAATACAGATTAGCTTTTTGAATCCACCCTTGAGGATCAAATCCATAGAATTCTGGTAGCTTAATTTTCTTCACCGCCCATGGCAACCCATCAGTTGATTTAAGAGGAGTTTGAGCACCCCCACCGCCCGGAGACCCGATGAAAATACCGGAAAATTGATCGCCAGATCCCGATGCACCCCCAGAACCATGAAGCTGTTGGTTCCCCTGTTGTTTCAACCATCCCAACATCACCTTACGAAATTCAACAGATTCATTTCGATCCACCTCCAAAGCCTGCAAGGCCGATTCGATTTCAGTCACTTCAGATTGGAGCTGATGAATCACCTTTTCTTTTGATTAACCTGGATATCCAACCCGCTATGCGAGCCGACTAATCCTAGGGCGACCACCTGCTTTGCAGATATCCCGGAGTCACCGCATTTGAACCTCCGTGGCCACAAGGGGATTTTTATTCCTCCTTGGATTTGAACCTGGGACCTCCTGGTACTTTTGACATTTGGAGCCAAGCTCAAACCAATCAGGCACTCACCCTTGTGGTTGATGAATCACCTCTTCATGTTGCTCCAGACGACCTTGCACCGAACGAGTTTCCATTGGTAGAGAGCCAACACAGACGGCAGGTCCTGGCAGGTCGGACCAATGATACGAAATTGAAACTTGAAAGAACAATTGAACACAAAAGATAAGGAAGAAAGGTATGATTTGAATTGAAAACTTGGAATGAACATAATTACAATCAAAATCCAGGGATGATCCCTCTCTCACAACCATAAAGTTGGAGCCTCAAACAACATGAATGAAAAAATAACCGAATGAATGATTACGGGATCTTCCTTCCCTTTTATTCTTCTCTCTCTTCTAACTGACCTCAGCCACTTGCCTCATTCATTTTGTTGTCATTTCCCCTTTTTTCCCTTCTAGAATACACCGTAATATCCTAGATTGGTTTGCATTGGAACTAATTAATTCCCCATCCGTATCAAATTGCCATTGTAGAATTCATGCATGAAAATAAGTAGCAGAAGAGCTTCTGCAAAGAAATGCCTGAATATATAACCCAATAATAGGATTAGACTTCTATATCCTAATTAAGATCTGAGTAGCAAAGAGGGTGAAACATACTTTGCAAGTTCAGCAAAGTGAATAGAAAAGACAAACGATGGGCCTAAATCATAATGGGTGGATCCATAGTGTCATGGTCTGAGGTCTAAACTGTAGCCATGAATCTCTAAAGTTTGAGACCCATACGAGTATGACATGTGCAATTTTATGTTCTCTGATAGAGGAAGACACAAATGTGGCTAGTAGATTTGTTCATACTATCTTAAATCATAGGCAGCATATATAATTCTTCAAGGGGTACTTAATTTCTAAAAGTTTGTAGCTGATTTGCGTTGCATGTATAATGGAGGCATAGAGTTAAACACATGTCAACTTAGAAGTTCTATTTTATGATCATCAACTATCGATGGGCTAGAGAACGTGTTCATCTTGGTATGACTTCTTTGCGGTTTACATTACATGGATGTGGCACATCCACCCTTCATTTTATGAATGTTTAGGTATAATGTTTTGATGGATATCCATGTTATAACTTTGAATGTAATAGTTTTATGGTTCTAAAATGCACTTTGATGATAACCAGCCCTAGTGGTCGGCAATTTGAGTCTTGCAAGGAAGCATCTATGTACTTGCTCTCTATTGTTGGAGAAGAAAAATTGGATAAACCAAATCAAACTCACAGTAACAATTGTGATGACTTTGCCTTGAAAGGAGCTTCTGGGAATGTAAGTTGGTATTTGCAATTAGTTCTATGTTGATGCTTTCTCTTTCCCCCCTTTCCCCCTTTTATCCTCTTCTTCATTATTTTCTTATTATTGACTTTTATCATTTACTTTTTTTTCTTCATAAACTGTTTTTTTTAATTGTCCATGGCAGGCTGCAGATCTTTTTGTTCGAGAAGACTTAAAAAGAATTAGCTCTGTTCAAAATCCATCAGCACTGCCGACTTCATTACATACAGACTCTGGGAAGCAAGTCATGCCCGGCAATTTGGATCCTGTTGTTGAACAAGTTGAAGAGCTTTTCAAGTGCCTCAAGTGCTTCATGATATTTGAAGGAAAGATGGGTTTATTGAACCACCAGGTGTTATTTCACAAGTATGAAAGATCTGACATTGGTTCAGCAGTTTCTGATTGTACTGTAGTAAAAGGTGGAATATTTGAGTGCCAGCTCTGCCATAAGACATTTTTAGAAAGGAGCCAGTATAATGGACACATTGGGATGCATGTGACAAATGAGAGCAGGACTGCTGAAGCATCAGAAGCTCCAACTGCAGAAAAGACTAATGACCCTGTATTGTATCCTGGAGTTCCTGACAAGGAGTTGCCAGCTTCGGTTTCAGCAGAAGGCAATGTTGTAATAGAAACTCATGATGCACATCATGGTGATAAAATTATATCTGCATCCCCTCAAAGTGATCATAAGTTAAGTTCTGGCACAGAACTTAAAACCAACGAGCATTTTCGTGACCTTAACATTCTGGCTCATGGTAATCAGGAAGGCCATGTTAACATGAATGGAGTTGTTTTAGTTGAAAAATCTGGTGATGAGATTGGAAAGAACTGTAATGTAGATGACAATGAAGTTCCTGGAACAGACAAAGCTCCTGTTGTTTCTGTTTCTAAATCTGATCTTTGTTTTGATTATGAACCTTCCATGTCTGCTTATGAAAGCAGTAGGAAGTTTGAAAGTTCTGGTGGAATAGTTGATCGTGTTGATGACAAAACAGAGTGTGATCTTGATCAAGGTACTAGTTCTGGAGGCTGTCTGCTTTCTCCATTTTCCAGTAAACAGTTGGGCAGTGCCAGTGCTGTTGTTGAGAAAGATGGAGTTTCTAATGGTCAAGATGCAGTTTCTGGAAATGGGGTTACCCATGTTGACAAACCGGAATGCATTCTTAAGCAGGGAAGAAGTTCAGGAAACAGTCCTCCATATATAAATGAACCGATAGGCAGTTCTGGCGGTGTCGGGAAAATTGTAATCGGAGAGTATGCTAGTGTTGAGGTGCTCAATCATGCCGTTTCTGAAACTGGGGTTCCGACTTCAAGCATCGGTGGGAAAAAGGGCTTTAGAGCAAACATAAATGATACAAATATCTGTAGTTCGCTTGACAAGTTGACGCCTGAAAAGGAGAAAGTTGTTAATAGCGAGTCATCATCTGGGGTTTTCCATGGTGTTGGGCTTAATGAGGATTGTGTGGTTGAAATGGAGAAGCTTTCTGGTTCAGAAAGTCTTTCCCTTGTTTCACCAAGTAGTGCTGTCAATAATGCAAGTCTGATATCTTCCAAAAAACAAGAGTCTCCTCGAGAAGTAGGTTTTGCTGGCAGCATAATTGCTGCATCTGTTGATCAGGTTACTCATGCTTCTGATGAGAATAGATTTTCTTATGGCATTGCAAGTTCCAAACTTGATGGACAATATGAAGTCAGGAGCAGTGCATTTGCCAGCTATAATGTCTCAAGTATGTATGGCGGGACTTGTATGGAGAAGGAGCGCAATTTTATAAGTCGTTCATCTGTCTCATCATGGTGCAAAAAAGAATGTATGAATGAAGATGTTGGGAGCAAGGTTCTAGTTTCCACTATGAAGGAACCTCAGACACAAATGAGCAAGGAAAATTTCCACATGGAGAATGATGTAAACAATGCTTCTTCAAACAAGTCAGGGGAAGCCAATTTAGATGACTTCCAAATATTTAGGAACGATGAATCAAAGGACAATGAGGTTGCTTCTTTGGGCAGCAGCCAGAATGGCTTAAATGCGGGTGTTATGGCTTTTAATACGGGGAAAAACCTTGAATTTTGTTCACTTGCTCCCCCTGAGAATGAGCAAGCATTTGGGTTCCAAGATGATGTAAGTGGCCTGTATGACAATGCTCATGGGAGCTCTGAAAGGGGATTGCTTGATCATTTTTGCGTTGCTGAAACTTCTGATGATATTTTTGGAAATAAGATGTATTCCACACCACTAGATGGGCTTAAATTTGGTGAAGAGAGAAATATTGGCATCCATGAGTTAAGTCTTGCTTTTGGGAATCCTCATGCGCTATATGCAGATACAATTAGTGTCGAGCAGAAAAAAGGTGTGAATTGTTCAGTAGTTCCATCTAAGATTGAGGACGCTTTTGACGTCCAAACGAATTTGAGTATGGTTAACAATAGTATGGTTGAGGATCTCAAAGGGGTAAGAGAGTCAGTGGGCGGATCATTTAGCTTATCTTGTAACAATGAGGCTAGGGCTTTTCAACATAATGGTAATACAGTTTTCTCGGGCAGAACATGGGAAGATCTCGGATCAGATGAATTTAGAAGTTCTGAACGCAAGAAGTTTATGATTGGCTCCAGTAGCAACCAACGCCAGCTTAATGAGGTTGTGCCTAGTGGTATGTGGAAAACCGACGATAGAAATCAACTACAAAGTGGTTCAGCAAATCGTCATACACAGATCCAGTCACCGAGCGGTTTTCATTCCTTTGACATAATGTCCGACAAGGTGTTGGGTTTTGGTCATGTCAAACCTTTTTCCCACTAAATTCATACTCCCTCCGTCCCAAAATAAATGTCCATATTTCTATTTTAGTTTGTCCGAAACAAGTGTGTACTTTCAAAAGTACTAAAGTGCCTCTTTCCAATTCTACCCTTAATTATGAGATGGAGGAATTCATTACTTCCTCTATTATTAAGGGTAAAATTGTTATTTAGTTAATTAGAAAGTGTAATAGTTACATATTTCTAAAATTGTGCATCTTTTTTTTATTGTGGATATTTATTTTTGGGACGGAGGAAGTATCTCATAATGACTAGCAAATATTGCATTGCAGCAGTTGGTGATTTAGAACGTTTCTGAGAGCACTGATTTAACCATCTTCATTGACAGGCTGAAGATGGACTCTTTAGACTTGATGAAAGATATAAAGATGGTTCAAGTGTCGGTGGACTCAGATCTGGTAGATCTGAACCTCTGGAATTCAGATTCCTAACAGGTCAATCCGAACATAATCCACATGCTCTTCAAGGGGATTCCAGGGTCTTTCCGTATAACACGGGAATGGAGCAAGCTTTTGATTCTCCTTTTTGGATGGGAAAGAATTCTATGATGCCGAATATGGCTAGAAATCTGGTTACTGGTTTATGTTCTTGGTGTAGAAATGAATTCCATTTCCATCCCCAAACACAAGCTGGAATTGGTTCTCTATGCCCGGCTTGCAGTGCAGGAATTTCTGGGCAAGTCAACATGTTGTAGCATAGCCTGTCTTTGGAGATTTCTGCTTTAGTAGGACATGGAGGCAGAAGGTAACTTCTAGACCGAACCTTTTTATTTATTTATTATTTTTTTGAAGTATATAATATTTATATACAGCAAATATAACAAATAAACTCACACACCCTCCTCACTTTTGGTGAGTTTTGAACCCCTGACGTCCTAGGTAGCCAAAGACTCACATACCGCTAGGCCAATTTTTTTTTCATGTTAGCAAAGTAGCTGCTCTTAACCACAAGGATGGTGCTGTGTTGGTTGAGACTCAGGGGGATGAGGATGGCATCCTATTTTTCCCGGGTTCAATTTCAGCCCCCCTCTACTTGTGGTTTCCACATGATTATGTGGGGCGAATGCTTTAGCTTCTAGGGTTTACCGGGTCAGGCGACATGCCTAACACCCTCCCCAAAATTTCCAACTTTTTCTTGCGGCTATTCAGAGATGTTCACCTGCATATATGTAACACCCCATAGCCAAAAGCAGTCTGGCCCAATAACCAAAACCCAACGATGCCAGGGTCTGGGGAGGGTGACCCAATAACCACTTAACTTAAAACCATGGTGAAAGTTATTTGTAGACCATAACTTTGAGCTTATACAGTGCGTTTGGTATCTAGACAGGATGAGACATGACAAGTTAGTTGTTCAGTGTTTGTAAGACAAAACTGGACAGAACATAACAAATAAAAATGACCAATTTACCCCTAATGAGTTGTTTATATCTTTTATATATTTTGATTAATCATGTAATTTCTTAAATTACAATAAAATAAATATTTTTTATAACAAAATATGTTTTTAGAAAGTTTTCGTTGAAGGCGATTAAAATGACTCCAAAATAAAAAGTTTATATAGTTTATACCTTTTCTATGTTATTTTATTATTATTACTAATATTTAATAAATTATATAAATTAATCGAAATATAGAAACCGTATAAAAATAATATTTTGAGGACAGTAAAGTGAGAGTTTAAAAAACATAAAAAAATAATAAATAAAATTTAAAGAATGAATAAAATATATAGAGTGACGCTATTTGATGTTTGAGAAGATTATGTGGTTTATTTTGAGGATATATTGGTAAAATATAGATTTGTTCCACCTTGTTCCGTGGGGTGGTCATGCCGAATGTGAAACAATGATCCCTATTATGTACTGTCTTGTCTAGTGTACCAAACGCACTCATAGGAGCTCACAAATCTAATTTTCTATCCGATGTGGGATGGATTGTTACTAATAGAAGTATTGATGCGATTTCATTTCCACAGGCAAAGAAGATGGGGACACATGATATGTAATTAAGACCACCTATAGTAATGGATATTGGTCACTTTTGGTATGCTTTTTGAAATATCATGAATTAGTTAAACCTCATATTTCTATAACCATGTTTATTGCTTTCTCTTGATAAATATCGAGTGGTGAAAGCAACGCTTATAAGTGAATCTTATTATCGATTTTTCCTCCTGGTGAAGAGGTATGATTCTTCTAACCCTAATAGCAAAAACATGAATGTTGATTATGAAACTGAGAAGCCAATTGTATTTTGTATATGAACAGCATATATCATAGTTTTTTTTTTATTAACCTGGATATCCAACCCGCTATGCGAGTCGACTAATCCCAGGGAGACCACGTGCTTTGCAGATAGCCCGAAGTCACCGTATTTGAACCTCCGTGTCCACAAGGGGATTTTTATTCCTCCTTGGATTTAAACCTGGGACCTCCTGGTACTTTTGATCTTTGGAGCCAAACTCAAACCAATCAGACATCACCCTTGTGGTTATATATCATAGTTTATGCAGCTTACGGGTGAAGTATATGTGTAATACTCGTGTCGTTCCTTCCATAGTTATTGTAACGTTCGATTAAACGTATAGTTTGATGCATTTGTTACTATTGGTCCTATCTCTAATATTGACAAAATGAGGGATCTTTTAGATCAAAATCAACATAGTTGTAATATTAAAAAAATTCAAAGAAAGAAAAAGAAATGTTGCAATTAGTTGTTTATACAAATGCTTGGTCTGGATGAGTTGTTTGTTTTTCATATAAAAGTAGGTGGTTTTATGTTGTTTTATTCTGCAGGTTGCCATAGTTTTCTCAGCTCTGTTCATGAAGGCTAGAGAGGCAAGCCTTGCAAATTGACACATTTGGTATAACGATTCATTTTTACTTATTACAACAATGTACTTTTAAGTTGTTTTTTTATAGAGCGTTGCATTTTGACAAATTTAATGATAACAATAGGTAGTTTTTTTTTATTTGAATTAAGATGGTATGGTTTTAATTCAATGTCGTTGTCAAGTGACATTTATTACAATAACGTTGTACGCTTAAGGGGTGTTTACTTTTGATTGATTGGGCTTATTCACACAGACCTTTTGGAGTGTTTACTTGAAGCTTAATGAAAAATGTGGGCTTATTTGCACAGTCCAAATACATCACTTGTCGACGTTTAGCCAAAAAATTGATATCCCTACCCTTACACCCTCTCTTCATGTCTATCTCCCTCAACACCTCTCTTCACGTTTATCTCCCTCAACATAACCCTAGTGCCCTCTCTTCATGCCTGACGACCGATGACATCTCCGTTCATCTCTTCAGGACCGACGGCTAACGACCGGCGACATCTCTTTCACACCCTTTCTTCTTCGTTCATCTCTCCCCAACGACACCCCTCACCAAACCTTCTACACCCCTGCATCACTGAGAACAAAACCCTAATCAGACCCATCAACATCTTTGCCAAGATCTGTTACAAGCTAATCAACTTCGACGCCCATCATCATTTTCTCCCCTCATATATCTCTCGGTTAGGTTTAATTGAACTCATCAACATTTTGAGTTTAACAAGGCTGTGTTTGGCAGACTGTTGTTGGAGTAAATCTGATCAATGGAGCATATCCATTGATGGATCGATGCTATCCGTTGATGGATCAATGGAGCATATATGTTGATGGATTAATGCGAATGTTGAAGCTTATATGATCAATGAAACATATCAATTATTTGATTTTGATTGAATTGGCGTAAATAAAAATACGTTGTTATTGATTTAAAAACATTGGATTGAAGGTTAATTTTTAGATAATGAGAGAAGTATACCATTTGTACTCGGGGGTAAAACAATCATTTCTATCATTCACACTGTTAATTCAGGAAAAAAAAAGTAAACAACGAGGACAGACAGATTTATCCATACAGACAAATTTATCCATACAAGACTTAATAAAAAATTTGGTAAACAACCCCTTAATTTATTTTAATATTGAGACAGAAAAGTATTAATGGATTAATTAGATTTTATTTTGAGCTGAATTCGTTTGATTGATTGTTTAATTTGTCAATTCAACATGTTATAACCAATTATTCCATTCATACCTTGAGCTGAATACCCACATTCAAGAATTATTTTGGATCCAATCGCATATGAATCAGTAGAAATAAGTTGTACAATGGAAGCTTAAATGCGTAGTTACCGTCTTAAAAATTTAAGCCAAGTTACATAAAACCCAAGAATAGACGATTAAGCTATATCCCATCGTTAATCGATTGTTATTTTTCCTTTGATTCACCGATTTTCGTATATCAGATGCATGCTTATCTCGTATAAGATTATTTAAACATGATTGTATATGCAAATATAATAATATCTCAGTTAAAAAACTATAATATGATCTTAACTTACCAAAAACAAACGATTCACCGACTACATGATAACCCATACAAATGCTTACATACCAATAAATGTTCACAAAAGAAGTTATCATTGTTTTTCTCTATAATCATATTCGTTTTTCTTAAAGAGCAAATTGTATGAAAAAAATAAGGTACGTTAACTTGATTCCTATTTTGAGTAATATACTTTCAAAACTTCCATTTTGGTACCTAAGATGTAAAGTTTTAAACATTTAAGTACCCCGGGTGACGGGTTGAAGCAATAACCGGTTATCATGCTGATCTGACGATTGATGTGGTATCCAACTCAGTATTATTTGCTGATTTGGGATTGCTTATTTGAAGCAACTTATGTTTTTCTACAAAAACATTTTTCAACTTATTATAATTCAGAAGAGTTTAAATTCTTTAAAAACTTCTTATTACCGGTTTGACACCGGTATAAGTTGTTTATCCAAACACTTAAAAATGCTTATTATCAATGTCACACCAAAATAAATCAATACATTATTTTTATAAGCAATCCTAAACACCCCAAAAACTATAAATAAGAATTTATGTGTTGTTGGAAGGGCGAATCTCTAAAAACTTGTTAATCCTGATGGGCCATGGCTACCAAGAAAAAAAAGGAAAAAAGAAATTATTATTTTCAGAGTGGGTGACGATATTATCTTTCTTCCTCCCGTGGACTCTCAAATGCAAAAGAACCTCCATTGATTCAAAATCACACAACCCATTTGCTGATTTTTGTTTCTTCCCATTCCCTTTTCCACAAATCACCCAGATTCATTTCAATTCCAATAGCCTCAACACTGAGGCTTTTTCTGTTCTTCAATCTTTTGAGGGGTTTTTCATTTGATTCTGTATCAAAATCATATATATATATAGATGTTGGAATCATCAAAAATCATGAGTTCAAATAGGATTTCGAGATTTGGGTTCGTTCTATTGGTGATTTTTGGTAGGTTAACATGCGCAAATGAAAGCCCTAGGGTTTGTAATTCTATTTGTCCCCCCAAATCGATCAAGGATTCAATCTTCAGTTTTCAAGTTCCGGTTTGTCCCTTGAATCGGATGGATAATTCTTTCGGTGTTATTGAGGTATGTACGCACACTAAGAAGTTAACCAAAACACTTGTGGATATTACCAGCTGCTCTTATCATTTTGTATGATGAATTCATGTATATAATATGAATTATAGTCACTTGTTATGTTTGATTCGTAGCTGGTTTGTTATAAACTATGAATTAGAATCATCTCTTTTCTAGAATCACATTGGCTGAATGATTAATTTGATTTGCATCGTTAGTTGATATAATTTCATTACAAGCTTTGAATTTGATTTTTCTGGTTGATAGAATGCCATATTCATCATCTATCATGGCTAGTTCATGTTAAAATTATTAGAATTGATGATGTTCATTTGGGTCCATGAGATTTCCCTTTTGTTGTCACGATGAATGTTGCGATTATCGGAGGGATGGAGGGACGGTGTAACTTTATAGCTTCAACTTTGATGGGAATAAGGATATTTGAATCGAATGCTGTTGTTATCAAGTCGAATATTGCGGTTATTTTGGGGATCGAGTGAATAACCTTTTTGCTTAAAAGGGTATTCAAGATAGTTGATTTTGGTCAAATGTTTTTGTTAATATTGTAATTCTTTGAGGGTGGGGAGAGCAACCCTTTTATGCTCTCACCATGGTCTTAGGAACAACAAGAAAACGTACACTTTGTGATGATGATCATCTTGAGTTGTCCATGTCGACAAGAACTTGTCCCTGCCTTGAAAACGTCCACAACCACCACCAGCAACGCCCATCTGAAGATCTGGATTTACACTGCCAACCATATTAGAGAGTAATCAAATGAATTGGAAACCATATTAATTTGTTCTCTAATATGGTTGGTGGCGTAAATCCAGATTTTTGTGCAGCGTTGTTGTTGGTGGCGGTGGGAATGGAATATGGTACTCCATTGGCTCGATTTCAAAGCGAGGACGAGTTCTTGATGACATGGACGACTTAGGATGATCATCATCACCAAGTGTAAGCTTTCTTGTTGTTCCGGAGGCAATGGTTAGAGTATACATGGAGTGTTAAAAGAAAAGCCTAAGAATAAACAGGCACAATGGTTGTTTTTTTATCCTCCTATTTTTTTGTTGGTGATGAGACTTGCAAGAAGTCGAAGATGATTGTATAAAATAGGCATACTAACAACGTTTTGCAAATTTTTATTCCAAGGGAGACGAGACGTCATTGCAAAAGGCGTTGAGCAAGGTTCACAGGAATGCTCAAGATTACGTTGTGGTGCTCTTCTATGCGTCCTGGTGTCCCTTCTCAATAACATTTAGACCAAGTTTATCAGTGATGTCTTCCTTGTATCCTTCAATCGCTCATTTTGCAATCGAAGAATCCGTCATAAGGCCAAGGTTTGAGATCTTTATACGCCCATTTGTTCTCTACTGAAAAGCCTTGCTATCAATATGGTTATTTAGAAGTATATAATAATGCACATACCGCAAATGAATTCACACACCCTTCTCATCTTTGGTGAGATTTGAACCCTGACTTCCTAGAAGGCTGGGATCTATCGGTAACTCAAAGGCCCTTAGGTATCTCTCTCTCTCTATATATATATAGAGGGAGGTTCAAGACCCCCCCCAAAAAAAAATGAAAAACTGAGGAACACCCCGGTGACTTTTGGTTCACTTTAGGGGTTCTAAATGTGCATCCACTTTAATTTGATGTGTGCTTCTCTAAGTTAATAAGAAGTTATTGCAGCTTCCTGGTAGTGGGATAAAAATCTCCTATCCCAAATTCTCATGTCTCCCTCTTGTCCACCAATCACATGAATACACATCGTCAGTGAGGGAATGTAAGCTTGAATAAAATGATTTAAAATATATAAAAATCTGATGTGCCTTCATTTCATTGGTGGGATGAGAGTGTATCCAAATAACATTAGAAATTTGTATGCAGCATACTTTCGAAATATGGAGTTCATGGGTTTCCTACTCTCTTTGTCTTGAACTCAACAATGCGTGTGCGCTATCATGGCTCCCGCACTCTTGGTTCGCTTGTGGATTTCTACAGTAACGTTACAGGTAAAATAATTTCTGAAAGTTCAGCCATTCCTAAACGTTAGGCCATGTTTGATCTTATTGAAAAAAAGCCCCGTTTGGTTAGCCACAAGCTTGCTTCCTTACGTTTTTGCAATTAATTTTTCAACATGTCTTTTTAGGTCATTAATTTTACATTGTCATAGAGCTTATCTGCCAGTTTTTACTAAGTATGACGTGTTTATCAATATTAGCTAAACAGCTAGCTTAGCGAGGCTGTTTACTTTTTTGTTAATCCCTGTATGGATTAAGTTGTTTGTCTTAGGGACGGGAGACCGATGGATTTGAGGGAAGCAAAGAGAGAGGGTAGGATTTTTCTGGGGCATTTATGGTATTAAGCTTAACGGGGACAAAAAAGAGGTCATGGCTTATTCCATATAGCCAATTTGGCTTAATGGCCCAACAACTAAACCGTAAAGAAACAATCCCTAAACCGTAAAGAAACAATCCTGAATGGCCAAGTGGATAAGCCTCCCAGATCATTAAGCTCATTAAGCTGCAAGTAAACAACAATAAAATGACCCAATACATTAATCGATTCTATGTATAGGTATTAAAGCGGAATCTGTGGATGAAAAATCGGTAGGCGAGACAGTATGCACTTTAGAGCACGAGAACCGAGACAACAATGAGCCAGAAAGTTGTCCGTTTTCATGGGCACGGTCCCCAGAAAACATGCTTCGACACGAAACGTATTTGGCGTTAGCCACCATATTCGTGATTCTGAGGTCGGTTTACCTGAGTTATCCGTTTATCGTGATATGTGCTCGAGTGATTTGGAGGAGAAGGTTCGTAAACATACGGTTCAAGAGTTTGTGGGACCGTCCTTTCGCGTACTTGAAACGTGCGATACAGTTATTCAGGTCGCTCACCGAGCCTTGCAAGCGAAGCAATCTGCATGGAGCGATGAACGCCAAGGCTGCATGGGCGTCAAAGTCGTTGGCTTCGGTTTCTTTTGGGGAGGCGAGCGGTGACGGATCGGGAAGTTAAACCAACTGTGGAATTCCCTTGGGATTTTATCTTGGTTCTTGATAGGGAAGTTTTATGTGAAATGTAGATTACAATTTGTTTGATAGAAAAGAGCTGTAACAAGTTTTTATGTGTCCTTCCTTTTGTACTTTTTCCTTTTTTCCTCTCATCTTTTACAAGCAGAAGGTTTTCACGAAAACAACTGTTCTACTAATTTGGATAGATGTCAGATCTGTATACATTGCAACTCAGAATGAGATATATTGGTGCTGTTTGGTTGCATATGTAAGAGAGGCCTACACAATTGTAGCTTCAAATTTTTTTACCTTCACAGTATTTTGTTGTGAAGTTTTAAGTATAAAAAAGTGGTCTCAGGGGTCTCACGAAAACAAACTGGTCTCACGTGAACCCAACCCGGTAAATAAACATGTGTGAATTGATTAAATACAATTTACTGTGTTTACTATGACTAGCATATGCTCGAGTATTTTCAGCATCTAATTGAAAATCGGACTTATCGTGTTCTTGTTTTCTAACATAACAATTTAATTCTATAAATTCATCTGATGTCGATTTCAAAATTAAAAAACAAATAAAGATTCTTTTTAGCCGGTCATGCAAAGACAATCAAACCAAACTAAACGGATCCAAGTAGGTATTGATAAAACTATCATCAAACATCATTTTCGAACTGTGTTTCCACTAGATATCCATAAAATTGTCCCAAAATACCCAAGATTTTGTACGTAAATAAAATCATATGCATATTTATTAAAGGTGTATTCCCTAAAATAACCTGAATATATAAATAAAGCGAAAAAACGATCAAATTTTTTCATATTTCCACAAAAATGTCCGGCTAAATTGTAAAAGAAATTCGCCATTGATGGTTTTCCTATTGTTGTCAGAGGTGAGACTCATTTTCTTATAGAAAAACTGAAAAAGTCCATGTAAATCGTCAAATCGTGACGTTCTTGACGGTTTCTTGAAGATGCCAACCAACTATAGTGTAACTCATGTCATTTCGTCAATAGCGAATTCTTTTGACGATTAGGATTATGAATTACTTTTATTTAATAGAATAGTAAATAAAATAGAATATTAAACTCGGTAGGAATAATTTCAAATCACGAATTGACGCGAAATCCAGACTATTGTCATTCAACAGCTACCAAGATCAACAATTCCATAAGCTTGGGCCCCCTTTTTAGTGGATTATTTCAACGCAAGGGTTCATATTTGTTATATTCTGTTGGTAATAATGGAACAATTTTGCATATAGGAACAAAGAGAAGCATATTTATTCTATACTCGATAAGCACCAATACGCAATGGGGAGGTTAATGCTATTTGATACGAGCGAATGTACCCATACCTGTTCTATTGTTGACATAATAACCTTTATACAGATATGTATAGAAAAAGCGTGGTTCAAGTAACATCTACTAATATCAGCCAAAGTATTGTTAAAATACTTTTACGAGAGGTTACTGGGGTTCACAGTGGTGGAGGAACTGGATCAGAAAACATAGAGATTCTAGTTGTAAGATATCTAATGAAACCGTTACTAGAATTGAGATCTTCTTCAAAAAGAAAAATCTTAAAATAAATCCAATTGGTTTCAGACTTGGTACAACCCAACGTCATCATTCCTTTTGGTTCGATTTGACCAGTGATTTTGACAAATACGTGTAAATTTAGGGGGTGTTTGGGATTGCTTATCTAAAACAACTTATGCTTTTCTACAAAAGCACTTATCAACTTATTATAAGTCAGAAATGTTTAAATGCATTAAAAACTTCTTATTACCGGTTTGACACCGGTATAAATTGTTTATCCAAACACTCAAAAATGCTTATTACCAATGTCACACCGAAATAAGTCAATAAGTTGTTTTTATATAAATCAGAAAACCGAAAAGCCTTGAACCATTCACATTCCGTCAAGTTCACCTCCAATCCAACCTTCCATTTTCAGTTGCCGGCTTCATCTTTGTATCAACCATTTGGAAATTGGTGTTCTTTCTTCCATCAAAATCAAGTAAATCTAACCATCAAAATCCAAATCTGCCGCAAATTTCCAACTTAATTCTAGTTTAAAAACACCACACTTCAAACCAAATCCATAACTCATCAATGGCGGAATCGATTTCAACAGCTTATACATTTTCACCCAAACAACCTCCAAGAAGAAACACTTTACCTGTTACTCAAGAACAACCAAAAATCAAACACACCCAGAAACGATTTTTCTATAATGTTGCTGTTCTTCCATCTTACTGTCAAAAAGTAAGTGAAAATTTTCAGGGGTTTTCGCCATTTTTTCCAAGAAATTAAGAGAGTGCTGATAATTTATCGTTACCCAGATTATTGCAGAGCTTTTAGGGACGTATATCTTGATTTTTGCTGGATGTGGATCAGCACTTGTGGACAGAGATCGATCTTTAACAATTTTGGGGATTGCAATGGTTTGGGGTTTATGTTTGATGGCTCTGATTTATTCACTTGGCCATATTTCTGGTGCCCATTTCAATCCTGCTGTTTCTATTGCTTTTGCTGCTTCTGGGAGATTGCCTTTGCTATATGTAAGAACCCTAAATTCACTTTACCTTTTAAATCGACTTAAAACCATGGTAGAAATTACTGATGGCCATCAACTTAAAAGAGCTCACAAATTCATGTGATTTTTGATCTGGGATTTTGTTCTTTTAGGTGCCAATGTATGTGGTGTCTCAGATTTTAGGTTCGGCATTAGCGTGTCTCACTTTGAAAATCTTGTTCGATCATCAAAAGGACACGCTGCCGACAGTGACTCGGTATTCGACTCCAACAACAGATGCAGAAGCTTTCTTGTGGGAATTCGTCATCACTTTCATTTTGATGTTCTCCATCAATGGTGCTGCGACTGATGATAGATCGGTATTACTTAGCTTTCTTGTTAGCTAATTTTCGATTTCTAGTTCCTTTCGGGATTCTTAAAGGTATTAACTTTGATACTGAAACGATGAACACAGAGCAAGGAACTTGCAGGGGTTGCAATCGGAGTCACGCTGATGTTCAATGTGATAATTGCAGGGTACGACAATATCATACTCATTGCAACAAAATCGGCTTTATAAGATTCATATATGTTTAAAGAAACTGTTTTATAGAATTTAAGTTGATAGACCAAAGAACTATGCATTGTATGTAAAAATGTTACAATAAGTTGATATAACGTTTTTGGCGTACTAACAAGTTTTTTAGGACACAATGTCTTATTAATATTTTTATATAACATTATTTGGAAAAATGTCATATACAAACAAGTACAATATTAATTTGTTTGCATAGATTGTGAAGGTTTTGTTAACTTGCTTTCTACATAAAGCTCTCCCCTGAAAGCTTATTGAATAAGTCAATTTCTATATCATTATACCATTATTAAACAGTCATGTATGGCTGATTGAATAAGCTGTGATTCTCATTAAGCTCATCAAGCTGCTAACAAACATGCCTTTAGACATATTTGACATCTTATAAAGCTGATTTTGTAGTAATGACCCTACAAATAATAAAATAACATGATAGAAGATGTTTTATTTCGATTCTGATACGAAAAATTGATTGCAGGCCAATTACAGGAGCTTCTATGAACCCTGCAAGAAGCATAGGCCCTGCAGTTGTGGCAAATGAATACGAAAACCTTTGGATTTTTATCGTTGCCCCTATTCTAGGAGCTCTAACCGCAAGCCTCGTATACAGTCTTCTCCGACAACCAAAGCAAGAGAAACAGGATTTCGAAAACGAGGACCCCAGAAGCATCTATAACGATCTGTTTTCCCAGTCGATTCCATAAAAACCACAACTTTTCAACAATTCACGACACCAAGTAGTTCTAAAAAGGTCGTCACATCCCTCATAACAATTTATTAGTTATGCAGCATTGATAGGTTGTACGCCGAAGTACAACAACGACATGAACATTAGAAAAACACAAAAAATCTGGGGTTTCTAGAGGATTCCAGAATTCTTATGTCTAAAACACTTCTTTTTCTTCACTATACAGCATTAGAATAATATGAACAGCATAGGAACCAAAATGGTTTACAGAAAGATTATCTTTCCGGTTCCAAATCTGGCCTCGATTGTCTTTGAATCCGAGTCTTGGAAAACAAGATCGTGGATGAGAATCTGTAACGGCTGATTTTTGCCAATATCTTTGAGCTTCTATAATTTCTCAGACGACAGATTACCTGCTTATAGTTCAACAAACCTTCATATCAGATATTGTTCGATTTTTGATTGCTTAAAAATCTAAAACTAGTGATTTATAGAAAAACATTCAACAGTTCAGATCAATTGTAAATGATGCAAACTTCTGAAGATTGATAGTTAACAAAGAGACCAAGGTGAAGTAGATCTCGTAAGGCCAAGAAATCTTGAAATCGGGCAAGAAATCTTGAAATCGGGCATCTTTTAGAGTAAGATGACAGAAAACTAGTAATTCAGAATGCAGTTCATCAGCATACCTTGGGGGAAAGCTAGGAAAATGAATAAGATTCCAGATGGATTGTGAAAAAAACGCAATTTTTTTTGTTTGTTTGTAATTTTGTCGAATTCCAAAGAGATTGAGATGAACTGTCTTATGAGGGCAAAAAAATCTCGAAACTAGATATATTTCAAGTATTATGATATAAGGTTGGGTTTAGGGAAAAACCACAAAGAAAAGAAAAACGGAGGAACACTCTAATAATCATTCATTTGTATAGTTGCACATGTGGATAAAAAGTAATTGTCTAATGTGCATAAAATGCACACGTGCATAGAAACTAGGAACCATTTTCATTCACTTGGATGCACATGTGCATACTAGACAAATGAATGGTTATTAGGATATTCCTCAGTTTTTTATTTTTTTGTGGTTTTCCTTGAACCTAAGTCTATGATATAAAACCAGTAAAGTTGAGGGAAATACTTTACGGGAAAGCTAGGAAAGTGTGAAAGTTCAGATCGATTACTAAAGATGCAAACCTTTTGGGGGGATCTAGTTCAACATTTTGACACTTAACAAAGAGATTGAAGAGTATTGGATCATACAAGCACGCACGGGTACCTTTTGCGTATGATCACATGAAACTAGTAATTCAGAACTGATTGAGGAGAATACTTAATGGGATCGAAGCTAGAAAAAGATAGGAAAGTTCAGACCAAATGCAAACTTTTTAAGATCCAGTTCTGGAATATTGGCAATTAACCAAAAAACTAGATCATATAAAGGCAAACAGATGAGTTCCACCATGAAAACTATCCCATCTGGAATCAATAGGGGACATCTAGAAAACGAAGGTAATGATATTTACTAACGTCTTACCCGGTTTGAGAAAGTTCCCTCCAGTTGATCATTTGGTGCGACTGTGGATGCCTTTGCAAATAAGAACTGTCTTCACCTACAAACTGCTCTGAAAAACTAGAAGTTGCCGGTGACCACACGGGAACCACAACCCCATCTCGTTCCCTCCTAGAAGTCGTACCGTTAGAAGATTCAGCCGGAGAATCTTCAGCGTTCCTCAGAGCTATCTGGATGTTAAACTGTGCAAGTTCTTGATGAAGTGATTCCCTTGCTGGTTCTGGATCCATAACATCATCAGGAACTTCTGCCCTGCTATCATTTGCTAGACTTCTATGATCTGAAGATGATTCTTCTTCTTCTTCTACTCCACCTCTTAACAAAGATGCAGTCAAACTAGGAACCATTTGATCTTCATAATGGCGAATCGTGATACTCGTGTGATTCCTAACAGTATCTTGATCCATCTCCATTTGCATATCTTGTGGGAAAGCTATCAGAGCGTCTTCAGACGAATCACCAAGACCTTCTTCCATCCCATTTTCTAGAACGGCTCTAGAAGTGGCTTCATGCTGCCACATTTGTGTAAGTGCTTCACGTAACCGAGCTTTTGCTGCATCAATCTTTACGATGGGAAGAGGGTAATTCGAACCAAGCTCTATTCCAGCAGCTCGAAGCACGTATTCTGGCGCATCCCACGGCTGATGTATCCACTCAGTTGGTAATCTAGCAAGCTCAGGAAGCCATCTTCGTACGTATTCCCCATTCGGGTCAAATGTATAGCCCTCAATCTGACAAAAAAATATAAAAGAAAAACACAAAAGTTTCTTGATTTTCAGGTTAAGTCGTTGGAATCGCTGAAAATTTCCAGTTTTTTGACACAGATTAAGTTTATTGACTGTAACCATTTGATCCCAAAACACGATGCAGGAGAAGTCAAAGAAAGGTCATACCTGAGGATTATCTATGCGGTCAAACTCGCGGCTATCAGGTAAAGTTCCAGATATATACTGCCAACCAAGAGCATCACTCTCAAGATCCGCATCTAGCAACGTATCCCAGAAATATTTCATGCCCCATCTCCAAGGTAGTTGTAAAACCTTCACGAAGAAACTAGAAACCACCACTCGGATCCTATCATGCAACCAACCGGTGGCCCAAAGCTCTCTCATGCCGGCATCAACTAAAGGGTAACCGGTTCTACCTTGTCTCCATGCCTTAAAATAGCCTTCATCAATCACCCAAGGGAAAAACTTCAAATGTCCCAAAAGCGGCCTTTCGTGACTATATGGATGGTTGAAACTCATATATCTTGAGTATTCACGAAGACCGATAGATTTCAGGAATAAATTAACGCTTTCTTCACCAGCATTGTTCCCTTCATTGGCCCAAAGGATTTGTTTGGTTCGTACTAGGTGAAAGACTTTCCGTACACTAACTTCTCCGAAATGCAGGTGCGGAGAAAGAAAAGATGTTGTGGCACTATCTGCTTTTCTACGGTTTCTAGAGTAATCTAGTAATGGCCCGTTGACGAAAGCAGCTAGTGCCTTGTTAGCATTGCTCCATCCTGGTGACCATGCCCGAGCTAGAAGTGCATTGCTTCCCCTTTCTGAATCGTTTTCAAAAGCCACTGTGTCTGAAGGGCATCTAGAAAAATCACCTGAAGGAAACCATAAAACCATCGAGTATCCTTGCAAGACCAAAGGTTGGACACAATATCTACATGGTTATCCAATTTGCATAGTACATCTACAAGCATTGCTAGAATTTTATCGTATTTGGTGAATTTTGTTGGGGGTGCGTTTAGTATGCAAATAGAAATGGATAGTACTGGTCAGACAGGATTGGATGAGAATGAGGTACGCGAATTAAAAAAAAATGTAGAAGGTTTTAAGGTTTTAATTTGATGGGGGTATTTTAGTAATTTACCAAGCTTTTCTCGTCTCACTGATTTTTGTTCCACTTGTTATGGTTGGATAGGAAAAAAAATCCATATTTGTCTGGTTCGGTCCTGTCCAGTCCCAGTCATGTTGTCGCACCAAATGTGGAACAACAAGTTTTTGATTTGTCCAGTATTATCAGCATACCAAACGCACCCTTATAAGATGAAAAACCAAATAGTAAATGGATTAGACATGGAATGATTCCTAACTCCGAATCCAACATACCCAACAAAAGAAACTAAAAATAAATTAGGCAAATATATGTGGCCCTAGAATCATTAGGAATGTAACCTGAGATTATTCTTTTAGGTGGGAGTTGTGGAGGCTCGGGATCATACGGCATGCTAAGGCATCGATCCCAAAATGATGTAAATGTAATAAACGGCCGACCATCATCATCAAGAACTTCCCATGGTTCATATAACAAGTCTGCATTGAACGAGCGCACTGCTATGCCATTTTCAGTTAAAACCTCCTTCGCTCGGTGATCCCTAACCAGAGATAGAGGATCTACAATATACCAAAAACATTAATTACCCTTAATTCAGCACAAACCAATAAAATTTAAGCTACTTTTATAAGATCTTGATCCCCAATTGTTGCAAGTGATATCAAAATAGAAAAAAAAAAAAAAAAAGGAATATGCTTCAAAGTTCTCAAACTCCTATAATCTGTAATCTGTGGTTAAAAAGGGTTATAGAATTCATGAAACTTGTAGCTAAAGATCTATGATGCATTCATACAAGAAACATGAAATTGACATCCTTGAAATCTGCTAAAATTATAACCAAAAAGGGAAGAGGATAAACAATTGAAAACCCATATAAATGAACAAAAACCCATCTAAATTGCATAATCTTGAAAAAAAAAACCCTATATGAATGGCATAATCTTGAAGAAAAACCCATATAAATGAAGTTAGGGGCTGACCATATAAGTGGTTAAAAAAGATCTGAGTAGCACCAGTGGATTTGGTGACATCAAGAAGAGAAGAAACACTATCAGAAGATCTCTTGGTGATGAGAGAAGTTCCAAGATTCTTCAAGGATGAATCAAGCGAAGCTAAACTCTGTTTAAGCCACCATCTTGATACTCTCCCTGGATAATAATGGCCTTCTTCTTCAGGTGCCCATATGAAAACTGCTATCACTTTACCTGCTCTTACACCTGCAGCTAAAGCAGGGTTATCTTCTACCCTCAGATCTCTCCTAAACCATACTATACTGCATCCACCTGCCATCCCTCAAGAACCCTAGCCCCAATTCTCACCCACAAACACTTTAAAACCAGGATTATGTTGGAAAAATAGAGAAGAAGAGAAGGGGAAAAAAACCCAAATTCCAGAATTCTGATCCCTTTCTCTCAAGAAACCCAGTAAAGATTCTGATGATTTTTCTATCAAGAAACCCTAATCCCAATTCAGCTTAACAACTTTTTTCAAGAAACCCAGATCCTAATTCGAATTTCTGACGATCTTTTTCTCCATAAACCAGAAACCCAATTCGGATAACTATGAGTTTCTCTGGAATACACAAATCTCAGACGCTCAATCACAGACAGGTGTTTGTATTTGCTTGGAGAGCAAGTTGGTAGTCTTCTTATCCTTGGTTTCTTTTTTGTCACTCAGTCATGTGATGAAGAATCATTTGAAGAGCAAAAGCACAAAAAAGTAGGGAAACTTTTACTCCACTTTGATGGGTATTTGAAGAAGAATCTAATAAACAATAAGGAAATCAGAATATTTGACCCCTTATAATTGGGATTTTAATGAACAAGAAACACCCAAATGTGAGTTAGAAAGGGAAAAGACAGGGTTGGATGGGATGAGGAGAGGCAATTTGCAGCCACAAAGCTTTGTGTTGTAATTTCTATTTTCCTTTTTTTTTTTATGAATCTGTTTTTTTCTTTATCCCTGTTCTTATCTTTGAATTGGAAAACAAAAACCTCTCTTTCTTTGCCAGAGTGGAATATCTTTTTACATGGACCATTATTTTTTGATGCATTTTTTCATGGATTCTTGGTGGTGTCTGATTAGTTTAAGTTTCGCTCTAAAGGTCAAAAGTACCAGGAGGTCTCAGGTTCAAATCTAAGAAGAAATAAAAATCTCATTGTGGTCACGGAGGTTCAAATACGGTGACTCCGGGCTATCTGCAAAGCAAGTGGTCACCCTGAAATTAGTCGGCTCGCATAGCGGGTTGGATATCCAGGTTAATAAAAAAAATTTATTTTTTATTTTGTTAAAACTAATTTAATGTTTGATTTGATGTATTGTTTTATGGTTTCATGAGAATTTTTATGATTTAATAGAAACAAGATGCAAATTAACTAACATTGAAATTATATTTGTAAGGAAGAGTCGAATGTGTTGATCAATGCATCGTCAAGTGCATATTTGCAGTCAAAATTTGGACTTTAGTTCGGGAATGGTCCTTATTGGACACCCAACTGTAGTTCACAGCAGTTAATCTTCTTCTCCATCATAGACCATCACATTTCTCACTGTGGGTGCATCACATCTGGCAAGCTACCATCTCGGTTCCGTGTTACATGGCTTTGAAGCATCAAATTGATGTCATTTCCAAGCAGAAGTCGCTCAAGACGGATCTTTTGTTTGCCGATATACAAGTTCGTTTCACGTGGGTTTCAAGTAGACTCCGTAAGGGATCTATTTCACGAGACTTGTGGTTTACTTCACCCCAACTTACACATACCTTCGACTAATCGCTTCAAGTTCTGTTTCGTTTCCCCCTCAATGAAGGAGGTTTGGCTTCACGTTTTCTTTTATTTTTATTTTTTGTAATCTTTTGTTCCTTTACCGCCCTTCGTAGTTTTGATCGTGTTTGGGCACTTTGTTCTTCGATTTTGTATCTCCAGTTCGGGTGTTTTTCAAAATAATTACTGTATTTCAAAAAAAAAATTAATATTATGTGAAAATATGATACGACATCCTTTAGGAATAAGATAGCATAAGAATGAAGGTAATGGTTATTAACCGGGAAAGACACTGTAATTTCAATATATTTACGGGTATTGGTTGATAATTTAGCTGATAGTTAAAAAGCTAAATAATACCAAGAACAAAATAGTCACCTATGAACATGCCAGGGGTATACTATGCATATTAGTGGGCCAAAATACGGCTTTTATTGCTGTATTTATTACTTACATAATGTTTCAATGAAAAAAATAAAATATCATACGTCGAACCGTTTAAAGTTCCGATTAAAGATATTGATTTACTGGTTCATTTCTTGTTCTGATCAAGAATCTTGGATAAAAAGCCTGTGAAATTTTGTAGGTTCTTTATTTTCTGTTAACTTTGATTAGATATAAATACTTTTATTTATAACAAGAAAAATGCAAAACATCTGATCATTGAATGAATTTCAGAATGTGTTGGATAATATCCGAAAAACTAGCCTTCTAAAGAGAAAACGTGTTGTGTCTTTATGACGATTAAGAACATATGAATTACCGTCTTAAGTAATACATTTTAATCGTTAATGAAGACTGAAATGTCGTCATGATTCATATCAAACTCAGATCATGTGGGCATATTGTATCTTTCACTGACTTCGGTACACGCATCTGGTTATTTTGTTTGTAGGTCCCACTTAATTTGTAGGAATTCAATTCTATATATTCAGATACAAGGCTTTATATGTAACGACTTGAAAGAAGAGTTCTATTCCGATACGACACAAGGCATTACATGTAACGAGTTGAAAGAAGGGTCCAGATTCAAAGTTGTCGATGGTCAAAACTGCTTTTTATCATGACTGAATAGATTAAGACAAATTTTCTGAACTTTGGTTTTGAGTGGTACCCAAACTAAAGCCATAAAGCACAACATGAAACGTCCCATCTTTTGTAGTATTTTGGGCCTAATAGTGTCCTTGAAAGCCCAAATTTTATAAGCCCAAATCCCTGTCTGGGTAAGCCTCAAAGTCTGATCAAATTAAAATGTTGGGGGTAGTTCTGACCTAGGCTCTGTTCGAAAATGCGTCGAAAAGTCCAAGTAAGTCTAAAAAAACTCGGAGTGAAAAGGTTGATTGAAACTCAAAGCGTGGTCATGCCCGAACCGCTTTTTGTTCATTGAGAACGGGTTTGGAAGGTCCGAGCTTAAGCCTGAAAAGCCTGGACCTTGTGTATATGTAGGTTGGATCAAAGTGATTTGGGTTATAAATTAATACTTGATGCATAACATTCTCTTTTGTCTTAAAATGAAGGGAAAAGTCCAAAAAAAATCCAATAAACTTTATCATTTTGAATGGTTTAGTCGCTAAACTATTTTATTGAATGAATAGAAGTTAAGTTGAGAAACGTAAGAAGAAAACTTCACCCTTGGATGCACATTAGGATGAGATGCACCAGATCAATCTCCGTATCAAACTTGATTCATGTGTGGGTTTGAAATTAAAGGTGATTAGGGGTCCATATATCTTCTTACGCTTCTCATCTTAACTCTACTCCTTACACGATCCTTCGTCTATGTGTGTGTGTATATATATATATATATATTGGGGCCTAATCAAATAAAAACTAGATAGTTTGTGGTAACCGTGAGATCCAATGTAAGTCAATCATTTAAGATAATTAATGTTATTTACTAAAATAAAATAAGTGGCAAATGGGTATTTTGACAAAATTTTTTTATAACAAATCAAATCATTAATTATTCAATCTACAGTTACCTCATTTATTTGAATTTACCAAAATATCCTATTTTGAAGCCCACACCTCTCATCCCTTTCCTCATCGAAGTTGCTCTCCACCCATCCCCTTCCCCACGGTCATTCACCATATTTCGCAAACCATCCCCTCTCCCCAAGGTTGCTCACCATATTCGACGAACTAGACCGACAATGCACCAACGACGCAGTCCAACCTAAGAAAAACAAGATGATAATGAATCGATGTGTGACAACCGGCCTCAATGCTATGATCAATCCTTTTGAACGGGATCCATACCGAAGAGAAAAAAGAAGGTTGTCGTATCTAGGGCTTTACTGTACATCTGCCTATACATTGCCGACAGATTTCCGTTTGAACGGATCCCTACCGGAGAGAAATCTGCGTCAGTCTGGTTTCAAATCTTGAAGACGATGACAGAGATAGAGATTTGATTTCCAAAACACCCTTCTCCCCTATTTGGTTTTATATATGAGGTTTTTTTGTTTCTAAAGTTATGTTTTTAAGGATTTTTTTTTTGGTTTAAAATTCATAGGTATCACATGGTTATTATAGTGGCATTAGGGGTATCACCGTTAGTATCACATTGGATATCACAGTGTATCTTGTATGTATTTTGGGTATTACAATGAGTGTCGTTTGTGTGTGTGTGTGTGTGTGTATATATATATATATATTAACAGTGTCAATGTGTTTAGGTATCACATTGTATATTGTCTTTAGTTGGTGTTCGCCGTAATAAGGTTTACCAGAGAGAGGAGAGAGAGGAGTTGTAAAATACCTAAAATGTTTTTTAATTAAATTTAAATCAAATTACCAATCTTATTTATTTCCTAATTTATTATGTGATTTATGGTTGAGATTAAATCTCACGGTTAACACAAACTATCTACTTCTTCCTTGAATGACCCAAGTGAGATATGTGAAAACTTCTATCTTTAGGTTTTGTTTCATGATTTTTTCCCATCCAAGTTATAGTATTTATGTATTAATTAACATAATATTTTTTTTCAAAAGGTGTTTGTTTCATATGTATTCGGTTCACAATATGAAACATTTTTTTACATTTATTTTTGTTTCACAAACACGTAAAAAATGTTTACATTGTAAACTGAGTACATGTAAAACAAGCACATTCTGAAACAAATATATGCTAATCAATATTCAAAATCTTAGTCTTAGATGAAAAAAAATCATATAAATAACACATGATGTACAAGTTCTCAAATTTATCACAATTTTATGGGTTCTCAAAATAAGGTTCCCCAATATATATATATATATATATATATATATATATATATATATATATATATATAGG